CACCTCCAGTCCCAGGGTCTCCAGTCTCAGTGCCTCCAGCAGCAGTACCCTCAGGCTCAGCACCTCCAGCCCCAGCAGCTCCAATACCTCCAGTACGAGCACCTCCGGGACCAGCACCACTCCCAGCTCCAGTGACGGCAGCAGAAGTACCTCCAGCGGCAGAGCCTCGAGCTCCAGAAGCGCGACCCTGACGGCGACCGTACCAGTCGTGCAGCTGCTGCGAGGTGAGAGGCACACGCAGACGAAGGCGACTACTCCGAGGAAACCGCGCAACAGCAGACTCAGAACCCTCAGCGCCAGCACCCGCAGCAGCTCCAGAACCTCCAGCGCCAGCACCCTCAGCAGGTCCAGAACCTCCAGCTCCAGCGCCACCAGCGCCAGCACCTCCAGCAGCTCCAGCACCTCCAGCGCCAGCACCCTCAGCAACTCCAGAACCTCCAGCTCCAGCGCCACCAGCGCCAGCACCTCCAGCTCCAGCACCCTCAGCAGCTCCAGAACCTCCAGCAGAAACAACTCCAGTGGCAGAGTCACCAGCTCCAGCGCCTCCCGCAGCAGGGCCCCTAGCTCCAGCAGCGCGACCCTGACGGCTAGCGTACCACTCAAGCAGTTGCTGTGGAGAGAGAGGGAGTCGACGACGAGAGTGCAACGGCGAGGCACCAGCGGAGCGACTACGGAGACGGCCGCTCCAGGGAGACTGCTCCCCAGACGCCTCAGCGCCCCCAGGCTCAGCACCCCCAGACTCCTCACACCCAGGCTCAGCACCTCCAGTCTCCGCACCCCCAGGCTCCGCACCTCCAGGCTCCGCACCCCCAGGCTCAGCACCCCTAGGCTCAGCACCCCCAGGCTCCGCACCCCCAGGCTCAGCACCCCCAGCAGCAGCACCCCGAGCAGGACCACCCTCAGCAGGACCTGAGTCACCAGTGACCTCAACCTGAGGAGGAGGGTCTACCTGAGACACACCTGAAGGAGCAGGACCGGGAGCGGGGAGGGGGTCTACCTGGGGAGCACCTGGAGCGAGGAAGAGCGGTGGGGGGGGGAGAGGGGCAGTGCGGTAGGGGAAGAGACGGTAAAAGGGAACCGACTCGTCGAACGTGACGTCCTGAGAGGGGAAGACACGGCGCGAGGTGGGGTGGTAAAACTGCCAACCAGGCGCGTCAGGGACAAAGCCAAGGAAGACACAGGGAACAGCGCGGGCGGAGAGCTTGTCCGCGGTGGTATCGCGGACAAAGGCACGAGCACCCCAGACCCGGAAACGCGACGCATCGCCAACCTTCCCCGTCCACAGCAGTGTGGGCGAGGTCTCCGGCAAGGAGACACGGGGCCAGAGGTTGAGCTGATGCGTGGCGTACCGGACCGCAAACGGCCACAGAAAATGGGGGGCAGCCGCATGGATCATGGAGGTACGAGCGACCTCCATGACTAAGCCAATGCGGCGCTCAGCAACCCCATTCTTCTGCGGGAGGCCGGAAGCGTGAACGTCTGGCGGATGCCGTGCTCCGCACAGAAGGCTGCCAAGAGGTCTGAGGAGAACTCACCACCTCTGTCAGAGTGCAGACGCAGGACAGGAAAGTCCGACTGGAACCGCTCGCGGAGCTGGAGACGAACAGTGCGGATCCAGGGGATCAAAACATCAGGGACATCCCCTTGCGCTGCAAGGGGAAGACTGTGGTGTAACGCGTGTAGTCGTCGACGACCAGCAGGAAGTACCGCTCGTGGCCCTGTCTACGGACGCGGGCTGGGCCCCACACGTCCAGGTGGAGAGTCTGCAGGGGAGCCTCTGTGGGAGGGAACGAGGAGGAGTGAGGAGTGGCGCGCTGCCGCCCCTCGACACAGGGAAGACAGGGAGGAGCAGGCGAGGGTGGTAGAGGAGGCAGAGTCTCTGGAAGTCCAGAGACAAGGAAACGGCGGTGCATGCTACGAAGGCACTGCACCGAGGGGTGACCAAGGCGGTGGTGCCAAAGGAGGGTCTGGTGCGACAAAGCGCGACACGAGCAGGGGGCCGCTAGCTGACCTGACGCAAACGCAGACGCAGACGCAGCTACCTGAGGGGACACAGTGGTCAGTGTGTACAGACTCGAGCCAGGCGCTCGGGTGAACGTGGCCAGGTGCCGACCAGTCCGGGAGCACGTACAGTGGGTCACACGCTGACCTCCAGGGGTGAACTGGTCAACCCACACATCCTGTATGTCAGCTCCACTCACCAAGTTCGTAGAGAACGAGGGGAGGTGAAGACCGGACAGGGAGCCAGACGGGACCGCCGGACACGGCAGGACCGTGGAGGAGTGCGCAAGGACTGGACCCCCAGAGGGGTCTGCCAGGGAGACTGCAACCGGCCGACGGAGCGGCGTGAGGGTGGTGCTGTCGCGAAAGAAGGAGCGGGAAGCACCTGAGTCAAGTGTGAAGGTGTACAAGGCCTCAGCAGGCGCAGTACCAGAGAGAGCAGACTCACCAGCACCTGGAGCAGCACTCTCACCAGCACCTAGATCAGGAGACGCACTAGCACCTAGAGCAGCAGCCTCACCAGCACCTAGAGCAGCAGGCTCTATACATGGGTCAGGCGGTACGCACAGGTAACAGGCACGGTCAGCACTAGTAGGCAATGCATACATGGCAGTGAGAATAGCATCATAGTCAAGAGCAAAGATATCTACCCTCTGTCCAAGCAGCTCCAGCCAGGTGGGGAGCTCAGCCTCGTCGCCAAACTCGGTACGCCAGGCGTCGCTCAGACGGGCGAAGCAGCGGGACTGTGTGTGACCAAGCGTCCCGCAAGCCTGACCAGCCCGATCACCTGTGTGAATGACGTACGGGCAGCGAACGGTACTCAAAGACCCTCTACTCTGAGCGTACCACTCGTGAAGCTGCTGGGACGTAAGTGTCTCGCGCGGACGCCGCTGCAGCTGCAGCTGGCCACTGCCAGACGCTCCCGACTGACCAGCTCCAGGGCGACAGCCACGACGGCTACCGCCACAACCCCAACTAGCGTACCACTCACGAAGCTGCTGAGGCGTGAGAGACTCGCGCGGACGTCGCTGGAGCTGCATCTGGCCACCGCCAGTAGCAACAGTAGCAGTAGTAGCAGCAGCAGCGCGGGCAGGGCAGGCGCGGCAGGCAGGCAGGCAGGCAGGCAGGCAGGCAGGCAGGCAGGCAGAGGGCGCGGCAGCGCGCGAACAAGGCAGGTGCTCACCAGTGGCGGGCAGGGCCGGCGCTCGGCGGCCGGCGGCAAGGTAGGTGCACGACGGCGGCGACGGCGGGGCCGCAGCAGCGGCTGCAGAGTAGGGCCGCGGCAGCTGCAGGGCGGGGCCGCGGCAGCGGCAGGTCGGGGCCGCGTCAGCTGCAGGGCTGGCGGGGCCGCGTCGGCGTCCGGGCGGGGCCGCGTCGGCGGCAGGGCGCGGCCGCGTCAGAGGCAGGGCGGGGCCGCGTCGGCGGCAGGGCGCGGCCGCGTCAGAGGCAGGGCGCGGCCGCGTCAGAGGTAGGGCGCGGCCGCGTCAGAGGCAGGGCGGGGCCGCGTCAGGGGCGGGGCGGGGCCGCGTCGGCGACAGGGCGCGGCCGCGTCAGAGGCAGGGCGCGGCCGCGTCAGAGGCAGGGCGGGGCCGCGTCAGGGGCGGGGCGGGGCCACGGCGCGGCCGCGTCAGAGGCAGGGCGGGGCCGCGTCGGCGGCAGGGCGCGGCCGCGTCAGAGGCAGGGCGGGGCCGCGTCGGCGGCAGCGCGCGGCCGCGTCAGAGGCAGGGCGGGGCCGCGTCGGCTGCAGGGCGCGGCCGCGTCAGAGGCAGGGCGCAGCCGCGTCAGAGGCAGGGCGCGGCCGCGTCAGAGGCAGGGCGGGGCCGCGTCAGCGGCCTGGCGGGGCGGCGCTCTGGCCTGACGGGCCTGCAGGGGCGGCTCGCGGGCCTGACGGGCCTGCAGGGGCGGCTCGTGGGCCTGACGGGCCTGCAGGGGCTGCGCGTGGGCCTTACGGGCCTGCAGGGGCGGCGCGCTGGCCTAGGGCAGCAGGAGGCTGCGCGAGGGCTGCAGGACGGCGCGCGCAGCGCAGCACGTCACAAGGCAGGGCAGGCAGGCAGGCAGGCAGGCGCAGGACAACACGTGGGGTAGCGCGGTAACCGCAACGGTAGGTGGGCCCGAAAAAAAAAAAAGACGGTCCTACGGACCTAGTGCTCTGAAACCATATTAGAATCTAGCAGCAGGAATGATTGAACTATGATGGTATTGGGTACAAATATGAAACCCTAAAAGGGGCTGTACCCCATATGGGCTACCCCACTACAGCCTACACATATATAACATGCATATACTTTGACACTGGCGGCAGCGCGGGGTGCAGCGCGGGCGGCAGCGAAGGCGGGGCAGCGCAGCTGCAGTGCCGGCGGCAGCGCAGGGCAGCAGCGTGGCAGCGCGGCAACGCAAGGCAGCGCGCGCGTGCGGCAGTGTGGCAGCGAACGGGGCAGCGCGGGGCAGTGCGTGTGGGGCAGTGTGGGGCAGTGTGGGGCAGAGAGCACGGGGCAGTGCAAGGGCAGAGGCAGTGTGCGGCGCGGCGAAAGGCCAGCGGGCGGCAGCGGGCAGCAGATCACGTTTTAGGGCAGTGGCGCGCGCTAAGGCAGCAGCGCGTAGGGGCAGTAGGGCAGGCAGAACGAACCTACTCGATAATACCATGTCTGAAACTGAAACAGCGGAATGATGATTGACTAGCAAGGTTGGGATACAAGTAGGGAACCCAAATATGTTGCACCCCATAGTATGTGGCCCACTATAGCCTAGCATGCATATGTGCAGTTTGACAAGCGCATGCACCAAGTACCTGGATGCGACTAACTCCGGGGGGGTTATGGTAACTACGAAGCTTGAGACTACAGGAATGAGATTCAAATTTTTCATTTATTTGAAGCTCCCACAAAGACAGATGAAGTAACTAGGCGACTTTTCACTATGCGAGTTCCTTGCTGAAGTGTAATGCACTGTACTTCATAGAACCCCCGAACCCTATCGTAACCAACACGGACAATGTTATATCACGGCAGGGGTTGGCGAGCAGCAGCAATGATGTCGCGCACATCCGGCTCATCACCAGCCTCCTTGTCCTGCAGGCACGGGGGAGAGAGAGGTGAGCGTGGCTGGTAACCGTGTGATGTGTGTTGTGTGCCTCAAACAACCAGAGGCCCCATAAGCTGGCAAGAAGAACGAGGTCAGGCGCAGGCGCAGGGCGAGGGGCAGGTGAGGGGCAGGTGAGAAGCATGTGAGAAGCACGTGAGAAGCATGTGAGGGGCATGTGAGAAGCATGTGAGGGGCATGTGAGAAGCAGGTGAGGGGCATGTGAGAAGCAGGTGAGGGGCATGTGAGGGGCATGTGAGGGGCATGTGAGGGGCATGTGAGGGGCATGTGAGGGGCATGTGAGGGGCATGTCAGAAAACATGTCAGAACCATGTGAGAAGCATATGAGAAGCATGTGAGGGGCATGTGAGAAGCATGTGAGGGGCATGTGAGGGGCATGTGAGGGGCATGTGAGAAGCATGTGAGACGCATGTGAGAAGCATGTGAGAAGCATGTGAGAAGCACGTGAGTAGCACGTGAGGGGCATGTGAGGGGCATGTGAGGGGCATGTGAGGGGCATGTGAGGGGCATGTGAGGGGCATGTGAGGGGCATGTGAGGGGCATGTGAGGGGCATGTGAGGGGCATGTGAGGGGCATGTGAGACGCATGTGATGTGAGGGGCATGTGAGGGCACCATGTGGAGGAAGAGCAGATTGTCAATGCCCGGCCCCGCCACTATGACGCCCCCCTGCTGCCTGTGATGGTGGCATGGGAAATGAGGAGACACACAGATCAAGCATGGAACAGGCGAGGACATTCCAGGCTCATATGAGTATCAACCGAATGGCCCTTCAATATTTGCAGGCAGTTCACATGCGGTTCACATGCAGTTCACATGCGGTTCACATGCAGTTCACATGCAGTTCACATGCAGTTCACGCGCAGTTCACGCGCAGTTCACCTGCAGTTCACATGCGGTTCACATGCGGTTCACATGCGGTTCACATGCAGTTCACATGCAGTTCACTACTCTGATGAAGTTTGCATGGCTTGATGCTGGGCGAGATCTACACAGCATGGCTTGATGCTGGGCGAGATCTACACAGCATGGCTTGATGCTGGGCGAGATCTACACAGCATGGCTTGATGCTGGGCGATATCTACACAGCATGGCTTGATGCTGGGCGAGATCTACACAGCATGGCTTGATGCTGGGCGAGATCTACACAGCATGGCTTGATGCTGGGCGAGATCTACACAGCATGGCTTGATGCTGGGCGAGATCTACACAGCATGGCTTGATGCTGGGCGAGATCTACACAGCATGGCTTGATGCTGGGCGAGATCTACACAGCATGGCTTGATGCTGGGCGAGATCTACACAGCATGGCTTGATGCTGGGCGAGATCTACACAGCATGGCTTGATGCTGGGCGAGATCTACACAGCATGGCTTGATGCTGGGCGAGATCTACACAGCATGGCTTGATGCTGGGCGAGATCTACACAGCATGGCTTGATGCTGGGCGAGATCTACACAGCATGGCTTGATGCTGGGCGAGATCTACACAGCATGGCTTGATGCTGGGCGAGATCTACACAGCATGGCTTGATGCTGGGCGAGATCTACACAGCATGGCTTGATGCTGGGCGAGATCTACACAGAAGCACATTCATTCACTCTACTTGACTTCCCCTCTGCCTCTCCTCCATCCACCTGCGCCCTCGTCTTCTGCCCTCCTGCGTCTCACCATTTGCCACCGCCGCCAGCTATTGCATGCCATGCCACATCGCCCACTTCTCTCCAACCCTCCCACCCTTTAGCTCTCCCACCCCCTCCCCCCCCTTCCCCTCTAGCACTCACCACCTCAATCGTCCCCCAGATCTCACCACGCCCCCCTCGGCACGGTGCCAGCTGCAGCGACAGCCCCCAGTCCTGCTGGCAGTCATCCATCCTCAGCCCCCACAGCAGTCACCAACACTCCCCCCCTCCCCCCTCAGCACTCTCCCCCCCCTCCCCCCTCCCCAACACTCTCCCCTCCTCCCCTCTCCCCAGCACTCACCACGCCGCCGTGAGCACGGTGTCGCGCTGCAGTGACAGCCCCCAGTCCTGCTGGAAGCCCTCCATGCGCGCCTTCGCCACACTCAGCGCTGCCTGCAGCACGGCGGGCAGGTGGGGCCAACACAGGCGCAGGGGAGCAAAGTATGCATGGCAGCATGAGCAGCAGCAGCATGAGCAGCAGCAGCATGAGCAGCAGCAGAGCCCATGGCATGAAAAGGGCCCAGCCCGCCATGCAGCTAGCCTGCCATGCAGCTAGCACGACAGGCTCTTTCTTTCCGACGCAGTGACTTGATAAGATGGGCAGAGGTGCGTTGGCGTTGCCTCTCAAATCACTTTCTGTTGCATATAAATAACCCTCCCGCCTGCGACACGTTTCCGCCGGCCAGGCTCGCCCATTCAAATGCAAACAGCACAGATGTTGACTGTGCTTTTAGCAATGCACTTCGGGTGTGGGGGGGGGGAGGAGGAGGGGGGGATGTGACCGAAAAAAAATGGGGATGCAAGGGCGGAGAGGGGAGGGGACTGACGGTGGGAGAGAAGACGGTGGAGAGGGGAGGGGACTGACGGTGGGGGAGGAGACGGTGGAGAGGGGAGGGGACTGACGGTGGGGGAGAAGACGGTGGAGAGGCCCGAGACAAACTGCAGCGCCTCGTACGACGCGCGCTGGCGGTCCGCATACACCTCTGATGGGCGGGGTGGGGTGGCACCGATGGCGGATGGGAGATGGTGGTGAGGGAAGAGGTGTGTGGATGCGACGAGGGGGGGGGGGGGGGGGGGGGGGCAGTGATGAGGTGTGAGAGGAGGGAAAGCAGAGAATATAAAGCGATTGATTGCAGGCGGGGAGAAATGCGTTCAAGGACACAAACAAATCCTTGGAAGGACAGGTGTTATTGAATTTTGAAATGCACGATGCTATGGAATATTCGAAAAGGCCTTAGGCACGTGAGAGAATATGGTGCAAAGGAGAGAGCAGAGAGACGGCAGCGTGGCAAAAAGGAGCGAATGCTGCGAGTGCAGCCAGGAGGTAGGCAGAGAGGCAGAGAGGCAGACAGGCAGAGAGGCCCACACAGAGAGGCCCATGTGGTTCACACAGAGAGGCCCATGTGGTTCACACAGAGAGGCCCATGTGGTTCACACAGAGAGGCCCATGTGGTTCACACAGAGAGGCCCATGCGCTCACCTCCTGGGAAGTTGGTTTGATCAACAAACTGCTGTGCCTGCACACAGCCGGTCGAGATGGACAGCATGCAAAAGATAACTGAAGTGAGCAGCGGACGAATGAGGTGAGCAGCGGACGAATGAAGTGAGCAGTGGCAGCTCTTTCGCAACACAGTGCAGGCGTCAGCAGTGAGTGCAACACAGCAGCCGTGGCAGCTCACATGTTGGATGGAGCCCGGGCCAATGATGATGAGAGTCACGCCTGCTGCTTGAAACGCATCCTGACAATAACGAGGGCATGGCAGAGATGCAGAGGTAGAGCGATGAGAGACACTTCAGCTGCGAAGCAATGGGCGTTTCAGAGAGCATGCAGCAACGAGACAGCAAGCGCGGAGGCAGAAAGCAACAGCCTTCTCATTGCCCCACCTTTTCATTTGCCAACATGGTGGTTAGCTTGCGACAGAGCAGACAGCTGGCAGGGCGACAAGGGCAGGGGAGGGCAAGAAGAAGAGAGAGTTGCGAGCAGTGCATGGGGGGCGGATAGTGAATGCAAGGGTGAAATAAATAACAGAGTGGAAGGAAGGGGAGATTAACGGGTCACAAGCCATGCCACCCACATAGGCAGGCGATGTGCCACCACACCATGGCATGGCATGGCATAGCATTGCATGGGATGGCATGGAAAAATGGATGGGATGCGGGGATGAGGTTAAATGGCATGGAAAGGGATGATGGTGCGATGGGATGATGGTGCGATAGGATGATGGTGCGATGGGGTGATGGTGCGATGGGGTGATGGTGCGATGGGATGAATTGGCATCACAGCTATCCAATCATTCATGGCATATTTACAATTCGCCCTGCCCGCACGCCCACCACCTCCACCCCCAGCAGCCACCCCCCACTCCTCAGGGCGCGCAGCTGGGTGCTTCAGCAGCTGGGTGCTTCAGCAGCTGGGTGCTTCAGCAGCTGGGTGCTTCAGCAGCTGGGTGCTTCAGCAGCTGGGTGCTTCAGCAGCTGGGTGCTTCAGCAGCTGGGTGCTTCAGCAGCTGGGTGCTTCAGCAGCTGGGTGCTTCAGCAGCTGGGTGCTTCAGCAGCTGGGTGCTTCAGCAGCTGGGTGCTTCAGCAGCTGGGTGCTTCAGCAGCTGGGTGCTTCAGCAGCTGGGTGCTTCAGCAGCTGGGTGCTTCAGCAGCTGGGTGCTTCAGCAGCTGGGTGCTTCAGCAGCTGGGTGCTTCAGCAGCTGGGTGCTTCAGCAGCTGGGTCTCACCCGAAGTGTCGCGTCCACGCCACCACCACGCGCCGCGTCGCCCACAGTGACGTCAGCGCCACTCGCGTGCCGTCCAGCGCCGTCACCTCCACGCCCGCCAGCGACGCCGCCCACGACGCCGCGACGGGCTCCGCCGCTCGGCTGGATGGCGCCGCCGCGTTCGACGGGCCGCGGGGCTCGCCGGCCGGCTCCGACGGGCGCGGCGACGCGGCCTCTGGCGGCGGTGGACCGTTGGCCGCCGCGCTGACCGCCACCCGCCGACGCGTTGACTCGCGTTGACTGGCGGCGTGACGGAACACGCGTGGTGCGGCGAGGGCGAGGGGCGGCGGGAGGGCAGGGGAGGCGCGCCGCAATGGCGCGAGAATTCGAGCTGCTGGAAGCGCGGGCGATACGCAATGCGACATGATGGATGACGTTTCTGGTGGGCGCGGAGGCGGGATTCAGCACATCCACCGAAAATTGGTGTCACAACAACACAAGTGCAGGGCGAAAAATCTTATTCTGTAATAAGGCTTTCTGGCGCACTACAGCGGGTACCATTCGAAGGTATTGGTTCAACAACCAAGTGGCACAAGTTCAAATCACTTAATGAGCAGATTGTAATGGTTAGCGCTGCTGCACAGCAGCCTCCTGCCTTCCATTCGTTGGTTCTATGTGCGTCAAAACAGGGCAGAGGTGAGCAGGCGGGGCACTAGAGGAGGAGGTCGTAGTGGTTGGTGCCGTTGTACCCTAAGATTTTCTATTACCGGTATCTCGATAATGTTCCGGATATAGACATCAATTTCTGTAGCTCGCTGCTAGAATGTACACAACACAGCCCATTGTGTCTAGAGGAGGAGGTCGTAGTGGTTGGTGCCGTTGTACAGCAGCCGCACCGCCTTGCGCGCCTTGTTGCCGTGTGCACCCGCCGCCCGCCCGAACTCACTGCCGTACTCCGCAATGGGCACCACTCCCCCGCCCCACCGCGCCCCCTGCCTCGCCTGCCACGCCGTGAGGGGTGGGCCGGTGGGAGCAAGGGGGCATGGGGGCATGGGAAGGAGGCACGGCAGCAGCAAGCGGTGCAGATGGAATGCGGTGGGTAGTGTGGGTGTGTCATGGAGAGGGCGGTGCAGCGAGTGACAATTGGCCACGGCACTGCAAGCGGCAGATTGAGAGTGCCGCTGCTGGAATCAGGAGGAGGAGTGTTGCAAGGGAGAGAGGGGAGGTTGAGACGTACCTTGGACTCGGGGATGTACACAATGATGGGCTGCGAGCACATGCGCGACAGCACCTGCCGTAGGGACGGTGACAGAGGAATTCGATTCTCCTCCTTAACTAAAGAAAGGAACAGGAGTGCTACCAGGGAACAAAGTAAAACAAGAGAGTTTCAAGCAGGAAAGGGGATTCAGTATCACACAGAAAAATGCAACGGGTTCATAAACAGCAGGCATGAACAGACGGCATGCACATGACGCAGACCCCACTAGCAGCGCCTGTCTCATCTTACCAGCAGCTCCGACTCTCCCCCCCAGAAGTCAGGCCTGGTGATGCGCTGGCAGTACCTGATGAAGGAGAGGTGATGAAGGGCAGGTGATGAAGGGCAGGTGATGAAGGGCAGGTGATGAAGTGCAGGTGATGAAGGGCAGGTGATGAAGGGCAGGTGATGAAGGGCAGGTGATGAAGGGCAGGTGATGAAGGGCAGGTGATGAAGGACAGGGCGGATTGGAGATCACAGAAGGTGATTGAGAGATGCAGCGGAGGGTGGTGTGGAAGAGAGGGCAGGGAAACAGTGCCTCCACATGTGGGTGACTCCCTTCACCCCATTGCCCCCCGTTCACGGCCCACTTCCAGTTATCGCCAGAATCCTCGTAACCTGTGACCCATGAGCCATGCTTGAGTCGCGTTGCACGCCGTTACCCCACCATCCTGTACAGCCATGACTCCAACACATATCACAGGAGCTGCTCCGTCGCCATCCTCCCATCATGCATCATGCATTCGTCTCCTCCACCGGCTCAGTTCTGAAATCCCTGTCTATCTCCCTGCCGACACTCCCATTCCCCCCTTCTGACCCCCATCTCCCTGCCCACACTCCCATTCCCCCCTTCTGACCCCCATCTCCCTGCCCACACTCCCATTCCCCCCTTCTGACCCCCATCTCCCTGCCGACACTCCCATTCCCCCCTTCTGACCCCCATCTCCCTGCCGACACTCCCATTCCCCCCTTCTGACCCCCATCTCCCTGCCCACACTCCCATTCCCCCCTTCTGACCCCCATCTCCCTGCCCACACTCCCATTCCCCCCTTCTGACCCCCATCTCCCTGCCCACACTCCCATTCCCCCCTTCTGACCCCCATCTCCCTGCCCACACTCCCATTCCCCCCTTCTGACCCCCATCTCCCTGCCCACACTCCCATTCCCCCCTTCTGACCCCCATCTCCCTGCCCACACTCTCCGTCTTCCCCCCCCCCCCCCCCCCTCCCCTCCCCCTGCTGACCGCGGCAGGCTCTCCTCAACGGTGATGGCGATGGGCGCCTCTTTGTACGCGGCACGGCGCTTTGCAACCCGTTACCGCCACTATCCTGTAACGCCATCATCCACAACCCACCCCTACATCCTTCCCCCCCCCCTCCCCCTCCCCCACCCCTCTTCCCCCGCCCTCCCCCTGCTCACCGCGGCAGGCTCTCCTCCACAGTGATGGCGATGAGAGCCTCCTCATAAGCGGCGCGGCGCTTCTCACTGCCGCACAGCGCATCCGCCACCGCCAGGCGCAACTCGTCTGGTGGCCGCAAGGAGGGCGACACATGGCAGCGTGAACATGGCGTGGCATGGGGCGGCGGCTTGACGTGGCGTGGAATTGAATGGAATGGAGGCCAAGGCGCAAGACAGGAAGTAAAGAGGGCAGGGTGGGGAGAGAGAGGGGCTGACTGAAACATGAACGATCGGAAGCTGATGGCATGGCATCAGGCACAATGCATGAATTCCTTCATCTCTGCCTGCTCGCACCCTCTGCCTGCTCGCACCCTCTGCCTGCTCGCACCCTCTGCCTGCTCGCACCCTCTGCCTGCTCGCACCCTCTGCCTGCTCGCACCCTCTTGCCTGCTCGCACCCTCTGCGCCTGCTCGCACCCTCTGCCTGCTCGCACCCTGCATCCTGCTCGCACCTCTGCCTGCTCGCAACCCTCTGCCTGCTCGCACCCTCTGCCTGCTCGCAACCCTCTGCCTGCTCGCACCCTCTGCCTGCTCGCACCCCTCTGCCTGCTCGCACCCTCTGCCTGCTCGCACCTCTGCCTGCTCGCACCCTCTGCCTGCTCGCACCCTCTGCCTGCTCGCACCCTCTGCCTGCTCGCACCCTCTGCCTGCTCGCACCCTCTGCCTGCTCGCACCCTCTGCCTGCTCGCACCCTCTGCCTGCTCGCACCCTCTGCCTGCTCGCACCCTCTGCCTGCTCGCACCCTCTGCCTGCTCGCACCCTCTGCCTGCTCGCACCCTCTGCCTGCTCGCACCCTCTGCCTGCTCGCACCCTCTGCCTGCTCGCACCCTCTGCCTGCTCGCACCCTCTGCCTGCTCGCACCCTCTGCCTGCTCGCACCCTCTGCCTGCTCGCACCCTCTGCCTGCTCGCACCCTCTGCCTGCTCGCACCCTCTGCCTGCTCGCACCCTCTGCCTGCTCGCACCCTCTGCCTGCTCGCACCCTCTGCCTGCTCGCACCCTCTGCCTGCTCGCACCCTCTGCCTGCTCGCACCCTCTGCCTGCTCGCACCCTCTGCCTGCTCGCACCCTCTGCCTGCTCGCACCCTCTGCCTGCTCGCACCCTCTGCCTGCTCGCACCCTCTGCCTGCTCGCACCCTCTGCCTGCTCGCACCCTCTGCCTGCTCGCACCCTCTGCCTGCTCGCACCCTCTGCCTGCTCGCACCCTCTGCCTGCTCGCACCCTCTGCCTGCTCGCACCCTCTGCCTGCTCGCACCCTCTGCCTGCTCGCACCCTCTGCCTGCTCGCACCCTCTGCCTGCTCGCACCCTCTGCCTGCTCGCACCCTCTGCCTGCTCGCACCCTCTGCCTGCTCGCACCTCTGCTGCTCGCACCCTCTGCCTGCTCGCACCCTCTGCCTGCTCGCACCCTCTGCCTGCTCGCACCCTCTGCCTGCTCGCACCCTCTGCCTGCTCGCACCCTCTGCCTGCTCGCACCCTCTGCCTGCTCGCACCCTCTGCCTGCTCGCACCCTCTGCCTGCTCGCACCCTCTGCCTGCTCGCACCCTCTGCCTGCTCGCACCCTCTGCCTGCTCGCACCCTCTGCCTGCTCGCACCCTCTGCCTGCTCGCACCCTCTGCCTGCTCGCACCCTCTGCCTGCTCGCACCCTCTGCCTGCTCGCACCCTCTGCCTGCTCGCACCCTCTGCCTGCTCGCACCCTCTGCCTGCTCGCACCCTCTGCCTGCTCGCACCCTCTGCCTGCTCGCACCCTCTGCCTGCTCGCACCCTCTGCCTGCTCGCACCCTCTGCCTGCTCGCACCCTCTGCCTGCTCGCACCCTCTGCCTGCTCGCACCCTCTGCCTGCTCGCAACCCTCTGCCTGCTCGCACCCTCTGCCTGCTCGCACCCTCTGCCTGCTCGCACCCTCTGCCTGCTCGCACCCTCTGCCTGCTCGCACCCTCTGCCTGCTCGCACCCTCTGCCTGCTCGCACCCTCTGCCTGCTCGCACCCTCTGCCTGCTCGCACCCTCTGCCTGCTCGCACCCTCTGCCTGCTCGCACCCTCTGCCTGCTCGCACCCTCTGCCTGCTCGCACCCTCTGCCTGCTCGCACCCTCTGCCTGCTCGCACCCTCTGCCTGCTCGCACCCTCTGCCTGCTCGCACCCTCTGCCTGCTCGCACCCTCTGCCTGCTCGCACCCTCTGCCTGCTCGCACCCTCTGCCTGCTCGCACCCTCTGCCTGCTCGCACCCTCTGCCTGCTCGCACCCTCTGCCTGCTCGCACCCTCTGCCTGCTCGCACCCTCTGCCTGCTCGCACCCTCTGCCTGCTCGCACCCTCTGCCTGCTCGCACCCTCTGCCTGCTCGCACCCTCTGCCTGCTCGCACCCTCTGCCTGCTCGCACCCTCTGCCTGCTCGCACCCTCTGCCTGCTCGCACCCTCTGCCTGCTCGCACCCTCTGCCTGCTCGCACCCTCTGCCTGCTCGCACCCTCTGCCTGCTCGCACCCTCTGCCTGCTCGCACCCTCTGCCTGCTCGCACCCTCTGCCCTGCTCGCACCCTCTGCCTGCTCGCACCCTCTGCCTGCTCGCACCCTCTGCCTGCTCGCACCCTCTGCCTGCTCGCACCCTCTGCCTGCTCGCACCCTCTGCCTGCTCGCACCCTCTGCCTGCTCGCACCCTCTGCCTGCTCGCACCCTCTGCCTGCTCGCACCCTCTGCCTGCTCGCACCCTCTGCCTGCTCGCACCCTCTGCCTGCTCGCACCCTCTGCCTGCTCGCACCCTCTGCCTGCTCGCACCCTCTGCCTGCTCGCACCCTCTGCCTGCTCGCACCCTCTGCCTGCTCGCACCCTCTGCCTGCTCGCACCCTCTGCCTGCTCGCACCCTCTGCCTGCTCGCACCCTCTGCCTGCTCGCACCCTCTGCCTGCTCGCACCCTCTGCCTGCTCGCACCCTCTGCCTGCTCGCACCCTCTGCCTGCTCGCACCCTCTGCTGCTCGCACCCTCTGCCTGCTCGCACCCTCTGCCTGCTCGCACCCTCTGCCTGCTCGCACCCTCTGCCTGCTCGCACCCTCTGCCTGCTCGCACCCTCTGCCTGCTCGCACCCTCTGCCTGCTCGCACCCTCTGCCTGCTCGCACCCTCTGCCTGCTCGCACCCTCTGCCTGCTCGCACCCTCTGCCTGCTCGCACCCTCTGCCTGCTCGCACCCTCTGCCTGCTCGCACCCTCTGCCTGCTCGCACCCTCTGCCTGCTCGCACCCTCTGCCTGCTCGCACCCTCTGCCTGCTCGCACCCTCTGCCTGCTCGCACCCTCTGCCTGCTCGCACCCTCTGCCTGCTCGCACCCTCTGCCTGCTCGCACCCTCTGCCTGCTCGCACCCTCTGCCTGCTCGCACCCTCTGCCTGCTCGCACCCTCTGCCTGCTCGCACCCTCTGCCTGCTCGCACCCTCTGCCTGCTCGCACCCTCTGCCTGCTCGCACCCTCTGCCTGCTCGCACCCTCTGCCTGCTCGCACCCTCTGCCTGCTCGCACCCTCTGCCTGCTCGCACCCTCTGCCTGCACCCACCTGCCTCGCGAGTCTCATCGGAGGGGGAGAGCGCCATGTTCTTGTTGGCCGCCATGCCCGATACCTGCAGCACGGGGTCACGGGGGCATGGCGGCATGGGGGGGCATGGGCGCATGGGGGCATGGCGGCATGGGGGCATGGCGGCATGGGGGCATGGGGGCATGGGGGCATGGGGGCATGGCGGCATGGGGGCATGGGGGCATGGCGGCATGGGGGCATGGGGGCATGGCGGCATGGGGGCATGGGGGCATGGGGGCATGGGTGCCTCAAGACGAGGGAAGGCGGCAATGGCTCTACAGCATCTTTGTCATTCATACCCCTTCACTCACATGCAATGGCTCCCATACACACCCTCCAACTCATCCCTCTCACGCACGCACATGCTCTCTCACTCACCTCACCCGCCCTCTCCTTCACACGCCTCTCACTCACTGTAGGTTTACCACTGCCAATAACTATTTCAGAGTCAGTGCCCCTCCCTCCCTCACACGCCCCTCCCTCCCTCACCCGCCTGTCCCTCACACGCCGCACGCCCCTCCCTCTCCCGCCCCTCCCTCTCCCACCCCTCCCTCCCTCCACGCCTCTCAGCACTGCTGGGCTCACCAGGGCGCGGAACATGCAGCGGCCGTCAGCCTGCACGCGGCGCACCGAGTAGTATTCCACCTTCTTGCCCGCCGCCCCGCCGCCCCTGCCATGCCACACGCGGGGCGAGGGGGGGGGGAGAGAGTGAAGATGGGAGGGAGGGGAAAGGGTGGTGATGTGCAGCACGGTGGCAAAGAGCAGCACTGCCACTCGTTCATGCGGCTGCGACTCGTTCATGCTGCTGCGATGCTGCTGCGATGCTGCTGCTGGTGACGGCAGGGAAAGGGGTGTCAAGTCAGGCCCACGGAGGCTGTGTGCACTGCGCAGAGCGACCCACCGGGGAGGAGCGGGGCGGGGCGGCTGGATGCGCGCGAAGCACAGCCCGCGGGCGGCGGCAGCAGCATCCGCGACGTCATCGGAGTTGGGATGGCGGGCGGTGCGGGGCGCCAAGGCAGCAGAGATGGAGGCGAAGGGGCTGGCCGTGGCAGCGGCAGTGGCGGCAAGGGGGTCGCCGGCAGACGGCAGGAGGTCCCAGGAGAAGTGCTGCAGCGATGCTGGCAGTGGTGTATGGTGAGCATGGATGATGGTGTATGGTGAGCATGGATGATGGTGTATGGAGCGGAGAGGGGGAGTGGAGGAAAAGAGGGGAGGCATGGACACCAATCTATTGCCAGTCGATTGGTGAGCTGGCCTTGCAGGTGAGCGCAGCAGAGCAACAGCGAGGGCAGTGACGAAGCAGGGAGGGCAGGGAGCACCTGGGGAGGGCGGGCGATCGGAGAGCAGTGCAGCAGAGGGCACCTTCACGCCCACCGCCGCTCGCAGGCGACACGAGGGGCGCGCTGCCGCCATGGCTCCCCGCGGAGGTGGGCGGTGGGCCGCGCTGTACTGCTGTGGGGGGAAGAGGAGGAGAGGGGGAAGGGGAGAGGGGGGGTTGGCAGAGGGGCGGGAATCTGGACGGCAGACGCGGAATTGGGGGGAAGTAGGACAGGGGGAGAGAGGAGGGGCGGCGGGAGGAGGGCGATGGGAAGGGGTGCGAGTAATCGTTGGACACGTGGCGAGTATCGGTGGGCCAAATGCATTTGCAATGGCGCCACGGCGATGCGGGCATTATGAGCGTTCAACGCGCTACGAGTGTTCAACGCGCTACGAGCGTTCGGCGCGTTACGAGCGTTCGGCGCGCTACGAGCGTACGGCGCGCTACGAGCGTTCGGCGCGCTACGAGCGTTCGGCGCGCTCAAGGTCACAAGCGCAGATCGCCTACCTGCTCTCCTGCTTGCCCGTTGAACGGGCGGCTGGAAAGGAGGGCGGCTGCTTGCCGCGAGAGGGACGAGGCGCGGAGCTGGGAGGCGCGGAGCTGGGTGGCGAGGCGACGAGGGATGCAGCACGCGCAGCCGCAGGTGACGCGGGCAGGCAGGGAGTGAGCAGCGAGGAGCGCTGGCTGGCGAAAGGATGGGTAGCGAGCACGTACGAAAAGTGTGAGACGAAAGTTGTTCCGCGCAAACGCGTACGCGATAACTTTCGCCCAAAATGTGACACACCACATCTTCTGTCGACTTGGTGTATGAACTATTTTTGTTTGGGTTTCATGGCTCTTACGGGTGCAATGGAACTAGATAGCGAGGATTGAACTAGGTGTCAAACGAGTACAAAGTATGAGCTAAGGCATGAGCGAAAACTTATACGCGAAACATGCAAACGGTACTGCGGTGCATGCGAGCTAGTGTTAGAATAAGCAGGAATGAATGATTGAACTAGGCAAGAGGTGAGTACAGGTAGGAAACCTAACCCTAAAGTGTTGTACTCACTAAGGAGTGACCCTACTGTAGCCTAGAGATACAATTGTAATCTGACACACCCCCATAGGCAAAGTAGGGGACAGCAAACACAACAAGCGGTCACAAGGCCAGTCTGCAGAAGAGAACACAGCTCAGGGTGGATCACAAAGTCACCACGCATTCTGAGCACAAGCAAGTGGCCACAAGGCCAGTTCACATGCAGAGGTATATAATAGCAAGGCAGTACACTGATCACAACCTAGCAAGAGAAAACAAGCAGGTATAAAGATATATAGCAGTGTACAACAAGAGCAAGTCAAGCAACCAACAGGTGAGGCAGAGTGGGCACAAGCCCAAGAGCAGTGCAGAAACGGTGATGATCACCAGACCCAAGGGCCTTGGTGAAGACATCGGCAGTGTTGGCCCGAGAGGCCACGTAAGCAAGGCGCAGCTGACCACGCTGCTGCAGCTCACGCGCAAGGAAGTAGCGAAGAGCAATGTGCTTCGTTCTGTGCTCCAGTCTCTGCTCGCGACACAAGGCAGGCATTGCCTTGTTGTCGACGTACAGAACTGGAGGAGAACGAGGCCGCTCCCCCAAGTCGGTCAGCAGGTAGGTCAGCCAGCGTAGCTCCTGTGCAGCCATGGCCCCAGCGTAGATCTCGGCCTCACAACTGGAACTAAGCACAGAAGAAGAACGAGTGGACCTCCACGAGACAGAACCAGAGCCAAGACTGAAGGTGTAACCCTGTGACGAACGCTGAGTCATCTGGTCGTCGGCCCAAGAAGCGTCAGAGTGTCCTGTGAGGACCACCGAACCCCGTCCTCCAAGCACGAGCCCCATGCCCGATGTGCTGCACAAGTAACGCAGTACCCTCTTCGCAGCATCAAAGTGCACCTTTCGGTGTCGACCAGGTGTCACGTAGCGAGCCAGGAGGCTGAGAGGGTACGCGAGGTCAGGTCGTGTGCACGTCATCAGGTACATGAGGCAACCCACAAGCTCTGGGTACGGACCACTCGGCTCTACGGACTCGTCCGAAGGTGGAGCTGAGAGCGAGTGGCCGGTAGACAGAGGAGTGGGCTGTGGCGAGGACCAAGTGAAGCGGAAGCGCTGAAGGACCTGGTGCACCATGTGTGACTGAGTGAGGGTGATGGTGCGCCGTGGTCTGTCCCGGGTGATCTGCAAGCCAAGATAGCTCCGCAGCTCACCCAGGTCAGTGCAGATGTGTCTCTCCTGCAGCTCCGCCTTCACTAGGGCCAGTGCCTCAGTGTCAGCAGTAGCAAAAACCAAGTCGTCGACGTACACGAGGATGTAGAACGGCGGCAGAGTAGTGTCGGTGCGGAGAAACAGCGACGGGTCAGCAGTCGAAGGAGCAAACCCAAGAGCCGCAAGTGTCGTCCTCAGTGTGTCGTGCCACTCACGGGGCGCCTGACTCAGGCCGTACACTGGTCGCCGTAGGCTCCACTGGGTACCCTCAGGAAACGACCCAGTGAAGCCCTGTGGACGGCGCAACCAGATGGCCTCGTGAAGGCTACCCTGCAAGAAAGCTGTCGAGAAGTCGAGGGAGTGCAGCTCGTAGTCACGCTGAGCTGCAACGTGTAGCAACACGTGAAGAGTGGTCATCTTCGGGGTGGGGGAGAAGGTCTGAAAGAAGTCGACCCCCTCACGCTGACTGAAGCCTCGAGCAACGTAACGTGCCTTGAAGGCAGGCGGAGAACCCGGCGGCCGCTTCACCTTGAAAATCCACATGCCACTGACAATGTTCGCCCCAGGTGGGGGAACCTTGTCGACGTAGGTGCCTGTGGACTTCCAGGAAGCCATCTCTGCGTCCATGGCTGTCTGCCACTGAGAGGAGTACTCACCCGAAATCGCCTCCCTGTAGGAGCGCGGGGTGGGGATGTCAAGTGCATCCGGGTCTTCCTCAGGGGCAAGCAGCATGGTCGCGTGATGGGGTGAAGCGGCAGCAAGGCACTCCAACTCCTCTTGTCTGTCCTCAAGAACGTCACAGCCAAGGGCAGTACAGCCAAGAGCAGTCTCACCCCCGACGGACGGAGGACAGGCAGTGACAGGGTCAGAGACAAGACTCGCAAGGTAGTCTAGGCGGTACACAGCAGCAAAGTCAACGAGCTCAGCTACTAGGGCAGACGCAGCAGGAGACGAGAACGTAGGGTCCGTCACAACCGTAGCAAGAAGGCGAGTAACAGTCGGACTGGACGCACGAGCAAGGTCAGACGGAGGGTCAGCAACGTCAGGAAGAGAGGACGCAGGAGGTAACGGTAGTACAACACGCTGAGGAACAGAGGAAGGACGGAGTGTCATATCGTGAGTGCCGGGGACAGCCGGAGCACGTGGACGACGAACACGAGGAACACGAGCACGGACAGCAGCTCTAGGCTCAGGCTCAAGGTCAAAGCTAGACTCAGGCTCTCGACGCTCAGGGGTGGAAGCACGAATATCAGGCTCTCGACGCTCAGTCAGGGACTCTAACACCGCAGTGTAAGGAGCAGGAGCAGGCAGTGGGGAGTGTGGTAGCAGCAGTGGCTGTGACTGGTCCACTGGCGGACACAGCAACGGAGGAGTAGTACTTGCCACAGGGAAGCCAGTAGCACTTGGCAGAAGACTGAGAAGGTGGCGAAGAGCACCAGTAGCTCCCGTACCTCCAGCACGAGCAGCTCCTCCAGTACCCCCAGCAACACCTCCAGCACCAGTAGCACCAGCACCTCCAGCACCACGAGCTTCGACAGCGCCAGCACCTCGAGCACCAGTAGTACCTCCAGCACCTCCAGTGCCTCCAGCTCCAGCTCCAGCGCCTCCAGCACCAGTAGTACCTCCAGTACCTCCTGTGCCAGCAGCTCCAGTAGCACCTCCAGCACCTCCAGCACCAGCAGCACCACCTGCTCCGGCAGCTCCAGCACCTCTAGTACGAGCACCTCCGGGACCAGTAGCTCCAGCACCTCCAGTACCTCCAGCACCAGCACCTCCAGGGTCAGCACCTCCAGCACCTCCAGCACCAGCAGCAGCTCCAGTACCCCCAGCACCAGCAGCACCCCCAGCACCAGCAGTACCTCTAGTACCTCCAGTAGTACCTCCAGCACCTCCAGCACCAGCAGCACCTCCTGGACTAGTAGCTCCAGCACCAGCCGGACCGTACCCTCCACCACCAGGACTGCCTCGCCGAACGACCCACGCACGAATCGCCTGCGGCGAGAGCGTCTCAAGTAGAGCAGGCTGCGGTGGCTGTCCAGCTCCAGTACCTCCAGTAGTGGTAGCTCTAGCACCTCCAGCACCAGAAGCACCTCTAGTACCCCCAGCTCCAGCACCTCCAGCACCAGCAGCAGCTCCAGTACCTCCAGTAGTACCTCCAAACCTAGTAGCTCCAGTACCTTCAGCTCCAGGACCTCCAGAAGGACTTGCAGCACCCCCAGAGTCAGCACCCGAAGTCTCAGCACCCCCAGAGTCAGCACCCAAAGTCTCAGTACCCCCAGGCTCAGTACCCTCAGGCTCAGTACCCTCAGTCCCAGCACCCGCAGGCTCAGTGCCCTCAGTCCCAGCACCCGCAGGCTCAGTACTCTCAGTCCCAGCACCCGCAGGCTCAGTACACTCAGTCCCAACACCCGCAGGCTCAGTACGCTCAGTCTCAGCTCCAGTGTCCACTGCAGAAGGCTGCAGAGGCAGGAAACCGGGGGGGGTAGCCAAACGAGGAGAGCATTCACCCCCAGACGTACCACTCCCAGGCCCAGCTCCAGCAGCCTCAGCTCCAGAGTCCACAGCAGCAGGCTGCGGAGGTGGCGAAGACGGCCGAGGCGGGAAACCCGGGGGGGTCTCCAAGCGAGGAGTGTGGCGAGTGGTCGCCGTGTCGTCGGCGACGGCATCACCCCTCTCAGCTGAGTCAGAGGAGTCAGAAGAGATCTCAACTGGCTCATCCAAGGGGGGTGGGTCTACCTGGGACACACCTGAGGGAGCAGGACCCTGTGGGGGAAGGGGGTCTACCGGGGGGGGGGGACTGGTACCAGGAAGAGAGGCACAAGGGGGACCGGGTGGGACGCGTGTGGGTGAAGTCGGTAGTAACAGACCGACTCGTCGAAGGTGACGTCCTGAGAGGACAGAACACGACGCGAGGCAGGGTGGTAGAACTGCCAGGGTAGAGCGTCGGTGGGGAAGCCCAGGAAGACACAGCGGAGAGTGCGAGGAGAGAGCTTGCTCGCTTTGGTATCGCGAACAAGGGAGAGCGCGCCCCAGACCCGAAACGACGACGCATCACCAGGCTGTCCCGTCCAACGGAGTGTGGGCGAGGTCTCTGGAGCAGAGACACGGGGCCAAAGGTTGAGCTGATGCGCGGCGTATCGGACCGCAAACGGCCACAGGAAATGGGGAGCAGCCGCATGGATCATGGAGGTACGAGCAACCTCCATGATCAGGCCAATGCGACGCTCAGCGATCCCATTTTGCTGCGGAGAGGCCGGAAGCGTGAACGACTGGGCGATGCCCTCATCCTGGCAGAACGTCTCAAG